GGCGCTATCATTTCCTGGGGGGAAAGGATGAGAAATACCCCCTACTTAGTCGAGCCTTCGAGAGCGCTGGAGGTGGTTCCCGAAGGCTTTACGCTTTTTGTACTTTGATAAATTTTGCATTACTTTTCCTTGTGCCCCCACATTTGACCCCTCGGTCTAACTCTTCATCGTTTTTGCAGGTGTTAATATGGACGTGAAGTCTCTCCTCGCTTTGAAGAACCAGAAGGCAAAGGCTCAGAAGGAGCCGGTCAAGCCGAAGCCCACCAAGGCCATCGAGGAAACTTCTGCAGCTGTCGCGGGTGAGGCCGGGGAGGTCCCAAGCCGTGGTGGCTTCAAAGAAGAAGAGGGCTGGAAAGGGGGGTGACCCCCCAGCGAAGAAGCACAAGGTGACCGATCCCGGTAAGCAGCCCACCTCTGATGAGGTCATCATTGTGGATGAGAGGGTTGGCTCTGGCTCCCTGCCTCAGGAGTTTGTTAATGAGGATTTCTTCGGCCGGGAGAGGCTGGTGGCTGTCGTTAGGTCGGGAGAGGCTGGAGGCTGGAGCCTCTTCCTGGGGCCACTGTTAGGCCTGGAATCACCGCCCATTGCATATGCATCCATGATGAAAAGTAGACTGTTGGTGACCGTGGGAGTATATTTTTATTGAATAAATAAGAGTGCTGAGAAAGAGATCACGGGTAATGCTTCGAGTTGTTAAAATTCGGGAGAAGAATTAAATTCTTAAAATTCGGTAGAAGATTGAAGACTGGATCTCGAATTAGAGGTTCGAGAGTTGAAAACTCGGGTGATGATCTTAGATGAACTCGGATGATGATCTCGGACGAGCGTTGATGTTATGATCTCGCGTGTTGCTCAATTTTTTTTTGACCGAAATCTGATGCTCAAAATCTTATGTAGTACCGAATTCAGGGATTCCAGGTATGCGAAATAATGTATCTCGAGCAACTAGGTATCTTCCTCCGTGATCTTCTCTCTTTATCATAGCAGCAACCACAATAATACGCGTATTTTGAAGAACAATTCCAGAGCTAATACAACCAAAATTTGATCAAATTAATTCCTTCTAAAATTCTCACAAATACGAAGAACAATATATGTGCCTTTGCTTTGATACCAATTGTGAATTCCCAGATCAACGGTCAATTAACACTAAAACAAAGTATGTAAAAAAGATGTAGAAGATGGAATATCAATCCACTATCAATATTGTATTTTCATAATGATAAATCTGTGAATACAAGATGTACGTATGAAGTTGAGACAAAATAAAGTAGGAACTATAAAATAATGATATGCATGCACAATAATGTGTGTAATAAAATTCTGGTAAATGTCCCCCAGCATTTACCCCACTGTTTTTTGTGGTTGGCCTTACGAGGTAAAAAAAAACAGGAAAGCCACACACCTAGAATAATTAATTAGCTAGCCCACTTTAATTACAAATTGTTAGTCCCCTAGATTTTGATAAAGTGTTTTGATGATGTCATAGTTTTCTTTTTTTGTTCCCCCCCCCCCCCCCCCCCCCCCATCTTTGGTAGCTATCATGTATTCTGCTCTTACCTAAATGCTAGTAAAATATTATCTAAAAGTGTCTTGCTCAAATGGTCAATTAACAAATAAGTTTAACTGGAAAAGTCAAAATGCAATAAGGTAATATTCCATTACCTTATAATAAGGATTTCTTATAGATCCTACCAGATAAACTTATTTGTTAATATCACATCAAATGAAAACAAAGTATTTCGAATGCACTATTATTTAACTGGAACACAAAATGCAATAAGGTAACGATTTTTGCCTTAATAGGATTTGTTATCCTACGAGTTAAATATTTGGTTTGATTTCGAAATACTAGCTGACCATACAAATCTTGAGTGACCAAAAGTCAAAAGTAAAATGTTTATGTCAAGTAAATTATACCAGAAAAGTCAAAATACAAAAAGGTAATTTTACCTTAAAAAGGATATTTAAATCCTACCGGTATGTATTTAATTTATCACAAACATTTTCAAACGTCACAAAAAGCAAAACACACATTGATATGAATTTTACATGTGTATAAATTGAGGACAAATAAATGAACAATTTTTGTGACTAATAAAATTATACTGGAAATTAAAAATGCAATAAGGTGAATTTATTTACCTTAATAGGATATTCAAATTCTACCAGTATAAATTTTATTAATACAGAAAAACTGTTAGTATGTCTCGTGATCTTCCGGAACCAATCAAAATTGAGGAAGTCCAAGCATGGAGGACGTTTAATGCAAAAACGTACATGTGATCCAAAGCATGGGAGGCACAGTCAAGTTGATATCTATAAAGGAGAACTGCAGCAGCTAGGCAGATAGAGACAAAGAAGTTATCGGCTCCAAAGAAGAAGACAAACAACAAGTTGTTATCTTCTGAAACAAAGATTCAACGAACGGGATTAAATCATCTCAACCAACGGATGATAGTAATCTACCAGAGACGCCTATAAATAAAGGCCGAAGCATGAGTTCTAAAATAAGTTCTTGAGTTCAAAAGCAGAGAAATCCTATAAGCATTCAAAGGATATCTAGCAAAAGAGAAAGTGCTTGATCATAACTTCACTCTCTGCTTTGACTCATGCTTCACTAAGCTCTTAGACTAGATCATCATTTTCATATTTTTAGAGCTTAGTTTTTAGTTGGAGACCTGAATTTTCTTGTAGCTTACAAGGTGTTGTAAAATACCCAGGAGGACAGTTGTCCCAACCTGAAGTGTGGTTAGATAGGTCAGGAGTACCTTTTGATCCCCACTGGATCAATTGAGAAAAACCTAAAGGATTGAGTAGCTTGGAGTGGTGTTTTACTCCTTATGAAACACCTTCAATGTAGGCCAGAGTTGTCAAGGCTAGATTGGCACTAAGTGTATTGGTCTTAATACTTTAGTGAAATCCATCTGAAATAGGGTGGGACTGAATGTAGGATGATTACACCACCTTTGAACCAGGATATACTGTGTGTTGATTTACTTTTCAGTCAACAGAGCACACACCCAACACTTCTTCATTAAAGGGATCGTAGTTTGCCAGCATCATCCTAAGCAGTAGTCTTAATTAACTCTACTGCTTATCCTATTGCTTAATAACTTACTTTTTCTTGAGACAACTGTTTCACAAGAGCTTCAGAACATCACTACTAAAAGGTCTGTTTTGCCTATTCTCAGAAATACTTCTTTCATACGCAGCAGGTGGCTTAGCAATTTCCTGGGTCTACCCAACTGCTTAGACCTCTGCTTATGCAAAACCCCTTATCATCTACAGTTCAGTACATATTCAGAAAGCACTCATCATTCTGAATAAGGCCATACAATCATCTCTCCTAAACTCCTATTTCCCACTAGCAGTTGCCTCAGCAGTCCCCTGCCATCCAGGCAACTGCCAAGCCAACTGCTCACTGTTTAAAGTCCAAATATCATTCAAGCTAGAAAGTTGTCACACACTAATCATAAAGAGGCTAAAGACTTCCGATGTGCATCTATAAATCTCCCAAAAGATTTTAGATCAACTCATCTAGAAGGGAAAAGTTTTCAAAGTCGAAAAAGCTTTGAAAGTCTATTCACCCCCCCCCCCCCCCCCCCCTCTAGACTTTTACCTCTATCCGGGACCATCACAAATCACACTAATACAAGTCTAATAAACAAAGATAATTACAATTAAATTGAACACAATAAAAATATGTTCTAACAGATGACATTGAATAAAATAATTTAAAATCATGCTTGACCTACTATGAAATAAAAAAAGCAGTATATATCTATACTATTATTAAGTTTTTTACAATATAAGGTGACATTTAATAACAAAACCTCCTTTGTATTGTAATCGATGTACTCACTACTCTACATAGCATTCAATATTTTTCAAATTTAAGTCTATATATGCCATTACTTGTTTCATTGATTTTATCTTACACTATATGTCCATGTTGCCATTCTTTTACACATTGACATTGCTATTATTTAAACTAAATATCCACATGTATACAACAATGTATATATAAGATTATACACTTGTTAAGTCCAATAATGTTATTCCTAAGTCAAAAAATGTCATTACTAAATACCTAAACCGCACAACTATGGCTATATCATCTCTTCTTAAGCACATTCACTTCAATTAATAACACTTAGTTCAATCTGTACACAACGGTTAGGGGTATATGGCACTACGAACGAGACTAGAAGATGACTTTGTCATCTCTCTCTCTCGGAATTCACCATTGTTCAAGCACTCGCCACACATAAACCACAAAAATATGCAATTAATAGCACAAAAATGCCATTCGAGATTCCAAATATCAAACCATTATCGACACTGTTTCCACGACATTGACATTAACAACATAAATTATATCAGGTCGCTTTTGATTTTAACTTTTTTTCCAGTTGACTCAAAGCCAGAATCTGCCATTGTATGTTCTTCTCTTTCCGTTCTCAAGCTTAGTTCTGTGTTTTGCTTTTATTTCTTCAGAACAGCTTTAGATAATGACTTTTAATTTTTTTCCTTCTCCAACTCTCATGGCTTCTGCGTACTTGAACGATTGAATGTTTTGCTTTCTCGATTGATTGCACTGTCAAAGAGCTGCATAGATTAATGGAGGCGTGAATTTTGAAACGGAGGCCATTTTAGGGCAGTTACACCATACATATTTGAAATAGATGCCTATTTGTGCATAATTGAGATTTCATTAAGGGTATTATGTCATGACACCCTTTTTTAGTCCAACTAAACCTTACGTAAAAGTGCACTCCTATTTGTGCATAAGTGATTTATTTTAGTTATATAGACAATTCTATCTTTCTTTTGTGATTCCGATATCATGAATCGATTCATGTCAGTCGATCTCAAAATCTTTTGGCAATTGTTATTGTTGTCGTTGGATGTACCTGTAAATTAGTTTACATGAACCATATAACTATTATTGAACAAACATGAATTCTGAAAAGGCTGATAAAGTTTTAGGGAATATGAAAATACATATATACTTGTATGGAGTAGTATTTAAAAACATCCATATGTGACAAAAATCATGAATATTTACGGCATATCAATATCTACAGTGTCCCTTTTATTGACCATAGAAGTATATACTTGCTCGTAATCCATCATAGTTTAAGTCCATTCTCAAAAAATACTACATGGATGAAAGGATAAAAAACAAATGAAGCGAAACTTCATTCCTGTGTAACAAAAAACCAGAAAATTTGTAGGATGAAAAATGAATTAAAGACAGCGAGTGTGGTCAATATAGAACGGGTGAGGACATTTTGCCAACTTGGTCCAAAACATCAAGCACTTCAGCCCTGCTCCTCACGATCCTGTGAAACACCTCTCTCACCTGTTGTTGCAATGGAACGAGCCCGTCCTCCATTTTTTGGCAGATATCAGCCAGCTCCGCTACCTGCACCGCCACGTCCTCCACCTTCTCGTCCTCCAATGGGAACTGAAATGACTGCGCGAACTCCACCAGCGACTGCGCCACCTTCTCCATCCTCTGTACCTCCTCTAACAACCCGGACGTGCCTTTCTTTTCCTTCTTCTTCCACTCCTCCGCTATCTTTTCGTGAAGCCCAATTAAGGCTTGGCCCCACGTCGTCTGTCTCGGCACAGGAAAATGGGCTGATAGCCCGTTCCTCTCCTGACACGGAATCGCGGCCACCAAAGCCCACATCACAAACAGCAACACTGTGCTCATGATGTAGACGGGCAGCCCGGTGGTCTCCCCACCACGCGGCGCTGCCAGATTGGATGACATGGCTTGTATCTGCTTTGCCGCGGACCAAGACTTCGCCACGGACCACGACAACGACCGGAAACTGCCCTCCGCTTTGTCCTTGCTGCTTGCTGCAGCGCCGCTGCTTCGGCGACCGAACGACCAGCTCCTCTCCGACAGCTTCCCGTGATTGTTCTCCCTGTCGTCGAGCGCCATCGAGGTCAGCAAGGTATTCAAGGCCTTTTTGGCGCGGCTGACCTGTCCATCCCCTAACGGCTTCTGCTCGAGAGAGGTTACAGCGATTCGGGCGAGCTTCTGCCAATGCCTGAGAAGCTCAACGCCGTGGCTGACGGCGTTACAGACGTCGAGGGCCTTGACAGAGCGGTCAAGGAGATCGGGGATGAGGCGATCGAGCGGGGGCTTGGAGAACTGCGAGGGGTCGCGCCCGATGAGAACGACGGCCTTAAACTCGGCTTCGCAGAGGACGAACGCGTCTAGAAGCTTCCGGAACCAGGAGACGGAGAGGAGAGGCGCGTAGTCGGAGTCGGTGGCGGGGTCAGCGGGAAGGAGCTCGGAGAAGCGGTCGGCGACGTGTTTCTGGAAGAACTCGAGGTCCTCGAGCTCTTGGTCATGGGGGTTGTTGGTTTCCATGGAAGACACCTGGTTGCGACGGATGCTTATGCGGTTCAAGAACGACCCTTGATCCGTCATCTTCTCTTATTGAATTGATCTGATATTCTGATCTGATGATGTTCGTTCGTTTCTTCCTTTAATTACACTTAATTTTACAACTGTTATATATATCTAGACTAGATTGATTCAAGAAATTGAATGAAATACTTTATACCAAGCAAGTATATGGGATCGAAAGGATTTACGAAATGAAATAAGCTAAAAATGAAGAACGTGGGTGGTTACAGATAAATCGGTTTAAGGTTGTGGGATGTCAAACAAAAAGAAAAGCTAAAAATGAAGAACGTTTGTTTCTCCTTCTTTTGCCTTTCATCCACTATAGATGCGCATAAGCATCTCTTCCGACCATCCATCCGCCCATTCAATTCTTGTCATTTTTTTAAATTTATTACGACTGCCCCATATTTCCGCACAATTACATTACAAGTGTTTGATAAAAGTTAATCCAGAAATTTTCCACCTTTTAACACACTTATTTGCGTTAACCGCAAATGCAAACCAATCGAATAATTTTGATTCAATTCGTGAATCGAATTCGAAAATGTTTTCAATTTCAAGCAAGTAGACTACAACGCATTAGCCCACTGTGATTTAAAAATGCATCAAACTCCCTTATGTTATATGTATTCATGCGCAAAATCCTCTCTAAGAACACATTTTACAAATTTGAAATCACCTATCTTAATAATATGATTGAATATGCAAGTAATTTTGTAAAATTTTCTAAATTGTACAAAAATATTAATCATTTTTCATTTATTTGACAATTAAATTTGCTCATAAAGGAAATTTTGCACACAAATAACTACTTTCTTCGTTCCTTAAAACTTTGCAAAGTTTGACCGGCACGAGAATTAATAAAGTAAAAAGGTGTGATAGAGGTTTGTACAGAAGAGAGAGAATTCATTATATCCACAAATTCTTTATTTAAAATGGAAAGAGGCAAAATTAGTGAGACATCCAAAAAAGAAAAGTTGGCAGAGTTTTAAGGGACGGAGGTAGTATAACACATGAAGATTGGACATATTTTTTATAAACCATATAGAGTTAATGTGTCAAAATTTATAATTCATAAAAGAAGTTTGGTGCATTAAAACCTTTTTACTAGTACGAAGTATAAGGTAATATATTCAAAATAGGGCTTAGGGTTCTAAATTATATTCCCTCCATCCCCCTATAATTGTCTCATTTTTTCATTTTTGAATATCCGTCCTCGTATTATTGTCTCATACCGTATTTGGTAATATTTGTGTGGCTATAATTCATTTTTACTTTATTATCACTTTATCAATTCATTATCAACCACACAATTCTAATTTTCTTAATTAAACCCTTATCACTCCCCTCCGTCCCAATATTAGGGGGACGAAGGGAGTACTAACTTTTGGAAGTTAATGTTGATGTTGATGTTGTGCGTAGAGATGGCAATTCTGACCGATCCGATGGATACCCGCATCGAACCGTCTCGGTCAAAACGGGGAAAACCGCATTGACTGGGTAACGAGTATGGGGCGAAGAATACCCATTTTGGTTTTACGGGTAACGGGACGGTTACAGTTTTATACATGCCCGCCCCATTACCCACCCCCGTACCCGCCCCCATTATTTTTGACTATATTTTTATTACATTTTTTATCTATTATTTGTCTCACAACTACAAAAAGATAAGATTTTTCTATTTTTATTGTGTATATATGGATAATAGATGACTAACTATAGTGTATGAATGAAAGTTTACAATAGATCTTAATAGTCTTGTTTGATTATTATCAGATTTTTTAGTGATTGATTATTTTTCATATTATGTATTTTTAGGTTCAAATTAATTTAGGTTAGCCTTCTTTCTTGTCTTGTAGATATACGAAACTTAAGTGGCGTATGAGTCTAGAGTCGTCTAGGTGATGCCATTTTTCACCTTTTAAAAATTATTTATATATTAAAATAATAATGACTCATACTCCCTCCGATTCCTAAACAAGTTCCACATTTGACTTCACACATATTAAGAAAATAAATTTGACTTTACTGTGGAGTGCACTGTTTGACACTGTTTGAACACTGTTTGGCACTGTTTGACACTGTTTTGATGTAGATAATAAGGAAATGTTTGAAAGTGGAACTTAATTTTGAATCTGCCCGAAAAGGAAAGGTGGAACTTGTTTCAGAAACGGAGGGAGTATAATAAACCGATTATCCGTGGTTACCCATGGTTATACCCGTTACCCGTTGGGGCGGTTATGGTTTGGGTAAAAATTACCCGTTGGGTAATGGGGCGGTTACGGGGCGGGGGAATTACCCAACGGGATGGGTACAGTTATATGTAAAATCGTCCCCGATCCGCCCCGTTGTCATCCCTAGTTGTGCGTTAAATTAGAATAGTAAAAATTACTATCTCCGTCCCGGTAGACTTTGCCAAGTGCAAAGTAAGTAAGAAATAAGAATAGTTAAAACTGTGTGATTGAAATTTGTACACAAGAGAGAGAAATGTGCATAACCACAAATTAATTTCTTTATATGGTTAAAGTTTTTTTGAAAAACCAAAAGGGAAAGTTGTAGAATACCCACACAAGTAGTTTAGATGGTTCAATGGTGAGAAATTTGGATCAAGAGACCAAATTTTGAATTCAGCGGCGATCGTGTAGACGTTACAATCTTTGAAATGGGATGAACCTCTGACCCGCACGAGCATATGACCTTACATTTCGGTGACCCAGTCATTGTGATTTATCCTCTCACGTGAGTATTGTGATTTACATCCTCCTGGGAAGAGTAATTATTTTATGAGTCACTCCTTCCGTTGTCTAGTTATCTGCTTATCTTGATGATTTGTGGCATGGAGGATTCCGCTATTCACTACACCATCCACTGTCACTTGTGTTTCTCAGAACCTCTATCCTTCAAAGAAGTCCATTACTAAAAGAAATGGCCACTGTCGTGCCAAAACTCGCCGTAGGCATTTTACCCAACCGCGATCGGCCATACTGCCGTAAACCATCGTACCTATTCCATCCGCTCACCAACACCAATCTACAAGCCCCGGGCTATGCAATCTCCACCAATACTGTTTCTGGGATCACTCGTGACCGGAGAAGGTTCATTTTCCGGGCCACAGAGGTTTCGGTGGCGGAAGGGCCGTCGGCATCGGGAGGCGGAGGGGAAAGTGAAGGGAAAACGAACAACTGGGTGCCGGTTGTGCCCCTGGCCGCTTTGCCGAAAGGAGAGCGGCGCGTGATCTCTCAAGACGGGGAGACTATACTGCTGCTTTGGTATAAAGATGGCGTCTTTGCCGTTGAGAACCGATCCCCGGCAGAAGGCGCTTACAGTGAAGGCCTTCTCAATGCCAAGCTTACTCAGGTATTCCCATTTTATTGGCATTTCCTGAACCAATGGATTAGATTTTCATCGGGTTTTCTTTCATCGTTGTTACTATAATTATAGTCAATTGTCGTAATATTCATTCAATTCAAGATATAGATTCTCCATAGTTTTGATTCTAAACTGTATTTTTAAAAGAAAAGCTATTCAAAAAACCATTTTTTATAGCTTAGAATATTATTGGGCAACTTAATTATGATTGCTTCAAGAATTTTGCTCTTTCCTGGATTTCGTTAATGGGATAACCAGACCGTACCTATAAGCAGGACATGGTCGATATGTTTGGTATGGTTTGGTTTGGTAGACATGATAATATGATGAAATAGAATGAAATACGTTAATGGGATAACCAGACCATACCTAAAACTCTATGCATCACTCATTGTGATGGTTAGGTGATACAATATTTAGTGCATAAATCTGTTCACATTATGTTATACCGAGTACTATTTAAGGTACAAAGTTCTACCAAATGTCAATAAAGCGTTGGTATGGAGTAGTATTCCTCATGCAACACAATCTGGTGTGTGTTATTGCATTATTCTACTACAACATTCCATTTCTGAGACTCCAACCCTGTGCAGGATGGTTGTATTGTTTGCCCAACAACTGACAGCACGTTCGACTTGCGGACTGGAGAAATAAAAGAATGGTACCCTAAAAACCCGGTGTTGAGATTTCTGTCACCTGCATTGCGAAAACTGCTCGTGTATCCTGTCCAGATAGACAGCGAAAATATATACATCAGCACAACACGAGTAAAAACCGATGCTACCACTGAGATTGTATTCAGTGGAAAGGCTCAACCCGGTATTACATCTACTGATGTCAATGTGGAAGAGGTAACGAAAGCCGTTAGGTAGTTTGTTCTTTTTTGTCTAGCAGTCCGATGTTTATAGCAAAAGTAAATTTCTTGAATGTAACAGCTGGGTCGCTCTATAATGATAAAAATTGCTCAAAGAACTATAAGTGGAAAGATTAGAGATTAGTCTTACCTTGATTTTTTGTTCTCATCCTTTTTTATGTCATCATATTTGGCCACTTAAGTACAAATACAGGACCTGTTCATATGGACTGAACTTTTATGTTCTAGCTGGACTGGTTCTTTTCTTTTTAGGCCTAGGTTGAAATAAGTCCAGTCCAAATGAACAGGCCATCATCTTTTTAGTCATAGCCAATTATATTTACAAACAGAGCTCTTAATCATCCTTGCCTATATGCGCCTAATGCATGTTGTTTTAGGTGAGGATGGTGATTGATGAGGGTCAAGAGGCATTTGGATTCTCCAGAAAGAATGAGTTCATAAACGGAAAAGCTGCTGCAATTGGCTTTCTACTGCTGCTAGATTTTGAACTTCTTACCGGTAAAGGTCTTCTTGGAGGAACAGGAGTGTTGGACTTCATTTATTCATTCTCCAATTTTCTAAAATGAATTCCCATGTAATTTAGGGACACTATCTCATCTCACACGGGCAGCATATCTTGTGGGAAGTAATGTAATCTAACTTCCAATCTCATCTGATACACAAAACGGGGAGTGATTGTGATATTCATGCCATCACTTTTCAACTACAAATGATAGGAAATACATTTATTTGTGTTGTATAGTGCATATTTAATATGTGGACCGATAAACACGTGTAAAAGGATCCAAATGAGAGTCTGAACAATATTTCAAATTGCTTAGCTTGAAAAAATGTTTCTCGAAATATTCATTTTTTTCTAGGGAGTATTGCGTATGAAGATTTATAGTATTGCATTTTAATACCGTACGCCTCTTTGTTATATGTGCTGATGATATATCACCATCGACGAAGAATCAATTCATTTGTAGTTTTGTACATTCTTGTTTTACTGTAATTGTTGGATTTGTTGAACATGTAAACTATATTCCCCCAAAAAAGCTTCCTACTTGTACTCTTTAATCCTTGGAAAGAAAATAAATAATAGTGTGGTGGATGTCATGTGCCCAGAATTTATATTTATGAATGGTGTTCCTGTTTTAGAAGACCCAAAGCACCAGTTACGATTTTCACATGTTGCTCTGTGTACAATCAAACCAACTAAAGATTTGTACTCTCTGTATTTATTATTAACCTTCCCTAAAGGTCCAAAGCACGGATCATAAGGGCATGTGTTTCACACTTTTACAAAGGGAAAATAACACCAGGAAAGTAACAGACTCAGCAAACATGGATGGGATTAGTGGCGCAGCTAAGGTCTCATTCCATTTTGAGCGGGTGGTGGTGGACAGGTCCAGATCCTGCATTGAGCCTCCCTGGAGAATGTGATTCAACTTTCGACGATCCTGTCGCAACAGGCCTCCCAGTCCCAATGAAAGAAGTCCTCCTTGCACTCAGGTTGTCAAGGACCAGACGGAATGCCCAGTTGATGACCTTCGGAGAAAACATCCTGTAGAGCAGGAACGTGTCCTCATACCATCTGGGGTACTTCACATATGCATCCCCACGGCATGCCCCGGCCACTATCATCTTCGCAAACTCCTCCACTGCTGCACTTGCATGTACCTTTATTGATTACAATTGTAACCAAATGGAATAAGCGTAATACCAATTCAAGCCTGAGATCATGCCATAGCTAAGTAGCTTGTTCTCATGAGTCATGGCAGAATACCAAAACACTGTACAGTCGCCAGACCAGTACATACCATCTTTTCTCCTACTACTATATAGGAACTATATTATATGTAGGCATGTAGCAAACTCTATATCATAATAATCCTTGAGGGTCTGGCTTTATTCTTCCATGTAAGTAAAATAACACCCGTAGACATACTTAGAGTCTTAGATGCATCAAATACTTACCTCCCTTTCTTCTCTCCATTGCATCTCTGCACCTTCATCCACCATGATTTTCCCCCTCATCATTTCAGTTCCGATCCAGCCATGTGTTGCGACTGTGATCCCAATGCTATCTTCCACCTCCAGCCTCAATGTCTCATAGAAATTTACAAGTGCGGCTTTTGCTGCCTATTTCAGTTACAAAATGGCAGTGTATCAATTTTCAATGGACGGGACTTGCTTTTTACAACTTTACCTAATTAGTGTGTAGGTGCACTTGATATGCTTGTACTAACCAAAAAACAATAGAAAAAAGAGGATAATGTAGTCTCACGGAGTATAAGCTCATTCTTGGTAAAGGCATCCAGTTTTCGACTGATGCGTTCACTATGATCCGGCCTCCGTGTTGGCGCAGATATGGAAGGGCTACATATGTTGGATACACATTTCCCCAGAAGTTTATGTCCTGGCCGGAAATGTAGAGATCTATTGTTATGAAACATTAAAGGGAAAGTAACGCACGCCTAGTAAGCATTGTTACAATCCTATGGTTCTACATGGAGTGTATATTACAGCATAGTGTTAATGTGTTATCCATCTCAACTTAGGGATCATGAAACTCTTAATTCAACCATACATCTCATAATGAGAGGAGAAATTGACACACAATTTCGCATACATCAGACCAGACCAGACCAGTTCTCTCAATCACCTACCATTAAAATGGGAAACACAGAAGTGTCCATGGCTTCCTCAAAGTAGAATGTATGACCTAAGCTTGCTGTATTTACGAGATGATCCACTGAAAAGAGAAACAACTTAATGGTCTTCATGATTATCAATATTTTTGAATAACATTAAATGAAAATAACTACGGCTATTAGTCCTAGAAAATGGTCAAAATGGTACATGAAGTGGTTTCGACGAGAGTAAGTAGTATTTCATCTTGCATTTGAAAAAGTTCATGAATTTGTATTTTTATAGTCGATCAAGCTCTCTGTCAGAACGTTAAAATAGCTGACCTCGCCAAACTATCTTTTTTTGACGGGGAACATTTGTCGTTACTTTATTATATTAAAAAAAATTGAGAAATGCAAAAGGTGAGGGGGTCCATTATTTTTTATTTTTTGTATTTATTTTTTACGTTTTTTATTTTAGTTTTTTATGTTTTATAATGATCATTTCAAAAGTCCTATTAGGAAGGACAAGAGAAAGGGCAGAATAGGAAGAATAGGAAGAGTTAGCTCTATTTTGGGAATTTAAACTTTAAACTTTTATTGTTGCAATTAATCTTTTATTTAAACGTGTTGAGGGAAATCTCCCAAATAATTACTATGGTTAATTGCGTGGCTTAAATTAATTAGGTAACAAGTTGCATAGTAGGGTACCTCGGCCATAGAAGTTGACAGTGTCAGTGATGAATCTCCTGCAGTCTTCTTCCTTGACAACATCTGCGGCTGTGACCAACACATTCTTGGCACCCAGCAATGTAGCATTCTCACTTATCCCCCACAGCCTGTTCTCTCTCCGTGCTACTAACACCAGATTGGCTCCCCTTTTTGCATACTCATATGCAATTTGCTGCCATTAATTATAAAACATATACTTCGTATATGAATTAATAATTATTAATTACCACTATATGTAACCAAAATAAACAAGTGCAACTTAATTCACATTTTAGTAGGTTTTTCCTCACATATAACTGAATTGTTAAATAAAATAAAAGCAAATGTTAATCTTTAACTTACACAACATGTGATCAAGTGGTGGCAGATTAAACTTGTGGAGGCAATTAGGGATGACAAACGGGGCAGATCGGGCAATTTGGGTAATTTCCCCCCTCCGCAACTGCCCCATTATCCAACAACTAATTTTTAGTCAAATTATAATCGCCCTAACGGGTAACGGGTATAACAACCGGTAACCGCTTTACTAAATGAGTTATTAATATTTTAATATAAAAATAATATTATAAAATGACAAAAATTGCATTGCCAATATAACTCTAGACGTCAAACGCCACTCTAGGGTTTCGTATACCTACATGAAGAGCAAAAAGAAAACATGAAGAGAAAGAAGGCAAACTAAATTAATTTGAACCTAAAAATACTTAATTCGAAAATTAATTAATTGCGAAAAAATCTGATAATAATCAAACAAGACTATAAAAATCTATTATGAACTTTCATTCATACATACAATGAGAAGAGAAGTCTCATCTTTTAATAGTTGTGGGACAAATATTACGTAATAGATAAAAGTAATAAAAATATAACTAAGAACAAACGGGGTGGGCAAGGGGCGGTAATGGGGATAAAGCGGACATGTATAAAACCGTAGCCGTCTCTTTACCCGTAATAAAAAAACGAGTATTCCCCGCCCCATAAGGTCATACCATTTACCTAGTCAATGCGATTTTCCACGTTTTGACCGGTGCGGTTCGATGCGGGGTCGCAATTGCCATCCCTAGAGGCAATTCAAAGAACTCCTTTGTTAGCCTACCTACTTCTTACTTTAGTAGGTCTATATTTGGATATACAATAATAACTCTATCTCGAAATTAAAGGAAAATAACCATGGATAATTGTCTGACTTAATTAGTTAACAAATTGCATATTTAAAAAAGTGAATTGACTCTGTGCGTCAATTCAATAACTATGGATAATTGATGAATAAAACATTAATTAAATTATATCAACCATGCTTTACTTTGACTTTCATCTGAATAATTTTGAAATAAAAAATGCACATTTCAATGTTGAAATATATATTTATTATAGCGACTTTTTTTACCTTTTTTATTTTAATAAAAAATAAAATTGGTTCAAGTAAAATTTGATTATTTAATTTGTTAAACACTTAATTATTAATTACAAGAACACATTTTCTCATATCAATTAAGGAGTGAATATATTAAGTGCATACATTTTTCAATTTCTAAGAGACCCTAAAGAATTCTCAAACCCTACAATTGCTAGGATTGGCCCTGCTATTAACCTATGGTTAATGAACCAATTTTATTTATTAACCAATTTTATATTTATAGGTTAATAAATATATTTACATTCAAAATAAGCTTGGAAACCCAAAGACCCTTCCAACCCCTCTTTGTCTCCCCCTTGAGTACTCATGTGACGAGCACTTAATATATTCACTCCTTAATTGAATAATTTCAATACTAGCACTAATACGTAGTATAGGTGAAGTAGAGTTTGTATCCACAGGAAAATGAATAATTCTCTTTTTAGTAAAACTAGTAAATAAGGGGGATTTTGGGATTGAGTGATTTAATTTAATTAAATACGAAGATGAATGACTTATATGAGATTTAATTCAAAGATAAAAAGGACTTATGATTGCTACTTTCCACTTGTTGATATATTTTAGTCGATCATTGTTATATCTATAACTTATTCCCTCTCGAATACTCAATCGAGGAGTATATCCAATTCATCGAGGGTAGTTATTAACAACGACCGTTCATTAATAACTCTTACTATTAGTCAAGTATAGAACATCGTCATATACCGACTTGATAGTAGCATTTAATCTCTTAACTCCTTGATGAAATCAATTGAGATTGATAACCTCAACACAACGGTTTCGGTTTAACCAACAAAATTAATCCCTCTTAAGTTTATCAACCACGACCAACGATTAACCATCGGTTCGTCGATCGTTTCTAGTAATAATTAATATATGAAACAAAACTAGTTGATCCTTTAAGTAATGTTCAAAATATTAATATGAAATATGAATAGGAATTAATTAATATTCAAAGGAAGAATATTATTAAAGGAGATGAATCCTACTATAATTAATATCAAGATGTTAACTAATTGTCATCTTAGCAACACTCTCCAATATTAATATAGAGGAAGAAAATACTAATCTAATTAACGTCAAGATGTTAACTAATTGTCATCTTAGCAACACTCCCCAACATTAATATAGAGATAGTATTAAGGAAAGAACTAATAATTAATATTCAAGGGAGGAAGTTAAGAAAGTAACTCACAACTTTAATAATCAACAAACTTCAAGAGCAACACCAAAAAATTGAAGTTCAGCTCCTCATTTGAAGACTAAACATGCTAGAAAAATATAAAGAAATGCTATTCTAGATTGAGCTTAAGAGTATATGTGAAATGATCAAATGGGAAGGAAAAGGGGTGTATTTATAGGTGTTTGGAGGTGGCAGGGTCATTTACCCGACCGGGTTTTTCAGAAACCCGATCGGGTTTCTTGAGTAAGTGCCCAGAATCTTCATTAGTCACATCTACCCGATCGGGTTTTTGATTTACCTGATCGGGTAAAAGACAAATCTTTGCCAAATCTTCGCCCTGCACGTTTAATTGCCTCCAAATCAAAATTTGATCTTCGGGTCAAGTCAAATCCGATCGGGTTTTTGAAAAATCTGGTCGGGTTTTTGACTATTTTCCCAACATTAATATAGAGATAGTATTAAGGAAAGAACTAATAATTAATATTCAAGGGAGGAAGTTAAGAAAGTAACTCACAACTTTAATAATCAACAAACTTCAAGAGCAACACCAAAAAATTGAAGTTCAGCTCCTCATTTGAAGACTAAACATGCTAGAAAAATATAAAGAAATGCTATTCTAGATTGAGCTTAAGAGTATATGTGAAATGATCAAATGGGAAGGAAAAGGGGTGTATTTATAGGTGTTTGGAGGTGGCAGGGTCATTTACCCGACCGGGTTTTTCAGAAACCCGATCGGGTTTCTTGAGTAAGTGCCCAGAATCTTCATTAGTCACATCTACCCGATCGGGTTTTTGATTTACCTGATCGGGTAAAAGACAAATCTTTGCCAAATCTTCGCCCTGCACGTTTAATTGCCTCCAAATCAAAATTTGATCTTCGGGTCAAGTCAAATCCGATCGGGTTTTTGAAAAATCTGGTCGGGTTTTTGACTATTTTCCCAACATTAATATAGAGATAGTATTAAGGAAAGAACTAATAATTAATATTCAAGGGAGGAAGTTAAGAAAGTAACTCACAACTTTAATAATCAACAAACTTCAAGAGCAACACCAAAAAATTGAAGTTCAGCTCCTCATTTGAAGACTAAACATGCTAGAAAAATATAAAGAAATGCTATTCTAGATTGAGCTTAAGAGTATATGTGAAATGATCAAATGGGAAGGAAAAGGGGTGTATTTATAGGTGTTTGGAGGTGGCAGGGTCATTTACCCGACCGGGTTTTTCAGAAACCCGATCGGGTTTCTTGAGTAAGTGCCCAGAATCTTCATTAGTCACATCTACCCGATCGGGTTTTTGATTTACCTGATCGGGTAAAAGACAAATCTTTGCCAAATCTTCGCCCTGCACGTTTAATTGCCTCCAAATCAAAATTTGATCTTCGGGTCAAGTCAAATCCCAGAATCTTCATTGGCGCTGTTTCCATTTTGGTGATCCTGTTCTGTGCTTTGGCCGTTACCTGCTCCTTATGGTTAACTGTTGGCAGGGGGGCCGTTGTTTCCTTGATGTGTTCGTTTGGGGACGATGAGTGTCCTGCTTCAATGGTGGCCGTTGAAGGCGCGCTTTCCCTTATTTGGAAGTTGATAGTTGAAGTTTACATTTGGGCCAATGAGGCCACTGAGGTTGAACCTTGTTTCGAGGACGATGGCGTCCTTTCCTTTGGGTGGCCGATGAGGGTGTTTGCGCACTCCTTTTGGCCGTTGCTGGTTGGCCTTCGTGTTCTTGGCCGAAGGGCCCGTCAAGATTAATTGTTGGCGGAGGACGATGAATGTCCTTGCCTCTAGTGGCTTGTTGGCCGTTGCTAGTGACGTTATGGGCCTTTGGCCGATGAAGTTCTGTTGTGCTGTATGGATGATGTGGCCATGCTTTGTGGTTACCTTATTCGCACTCTTTTGTTTTGTTGAGGCCGGTGTGGTCCCCCAGTCCCCCACTGCTTCAGGCCGAAGAGTGTGAGGGGTGAAGGAGTTGCTTGAGTCCCTGGCCGAAGCGGTCTCGCCGTAGTCCCCCTGAATCCAACTCTCATGGCGATTAAGAAACCCGATCGGGTTTCTTGAGTAAGTGCCCAGAATCTTCATTAGTCACATCTACCCGATCGGGTTTTTGATTTACCTGATCGGGTAAAAGACAAATCTTTGCCAAATCTTCGCCCTGCACGTTTAATTGCCTCCAAATCAAAATTTGATCTTCGGGTCAAGTCAAATCCGATCGGGTTTTTGAAAAATCTGGTCGGGTTTTTGACTATTTTCCCAAATTTTCACTTTTTCTTGTTCCCTTGCACTTTCCTCGACCTTTCGAAGATCCTTTTGATGATCTTTACCTAGTTTAAGTTCAGAAAATCCCTAATCTACACAAATTACAAGTAACTAGGAAAAATAAAGTATTACACCAAAAGTGTGTAATTTCCCAAACAACAACAAATAAAACTAGTTAAAATTGCAAACATAAACAATAACAATTTTAAACCATTATCATGCATGGGTGCATAATAATATATTCCGTACTATGTAATAAACAAAAGAGAAAATTATCCGAAATAGGACTAAAACAGTTTAAAAATTTCAAAATACGACTGTCATTTTTATTCCCAAAATAGGACTAATTATTGCCATGTTTTGGCAGTATCAGACTTCAAACACGGCAGTATTTTCTAAACATGAGAGTAGTTAGTCCTATTTTGGGAATAGGAAGCATGGTAGTCCTATTTTGGAATTTTCAAACTGTTTTAATCATATTTCAGGAACTTTCCTAAATAAAAAGCACAACAAAAAATTTAGCAATGAATATATATGTGTGTGTGTTCGTGTTCGTGTTCGTGTTCAGGTTCAGGTTCAGGTTCAGGTTCAGGTTCAGGTTCAGGTTCAGGTTCAGGTTCAGGTTCAGGTTCAGGTTCAGGTTCAGGTTCAGGTTCAGGTTCAGGTTCAGGTTCAGGTTCAGGTTCAGGTTCAGGTTCAGGTTCAGGTTCAGGTTCAGGTTCAGGTTCAGGTTCAGGTTCAGGTTCAGGTTCAGGTTCAGGTTCAGGTTCAGGTTCAGGTTCAGGTTCAGGTTCAGGTTCAGGTTCAGGTTCAGGTTCAGGTTCAGGTTCAGGTTCAGGTTCAGGTTCAGGTTCAGGTTCAGGTTCAGGTTCAGGTTCAAATGAGAAAGCTATCTTAGGAGAGAAATAAGAATAAATGATGACCATTAGATCACACTCTACTAGCGCTATACGATTTTTGTTGGTCAGGGTTGTTTATGTCAATTTCTCTTTCTTTCCATTTAACTTGCAAAAAAACGTGAGTCTCACTCTAATGGTCCATAAACTTTATTATTCTCTTTCCTTGATGGTCTAGGCAATTAATTTGTTTCCTCATCATTTTGATTCCTCTTATATTTCGATTGACTAGTGCGGCCCTCTTCTGATGTATTTCAATAACAAACGATTTTTTTTGTCTTTCTTCATTTCATTTATATTATATATTTTACGATCAATATTATTTTGCATGCTTCCTTCGAATTTGGTTTTTATGCAATACTTGAATTTCGCTTATGGTCTTAATAACATTTTCTTAGTGTTTATTTCATGCACCATATTGTTTAATGCATGCATTTATTATACTTTGTTAATGGACTTGTCATTATTTTTATTTAACTTTTTAGTGTGGATATTTTATTTTGAATATATGTGCCTTCAAAAATATAATTAACTAAATATATTAGTACCCAAACATAATGATGCATTGATAAATTATAATTATCAGAATTATGATGTATTATTTATTTTAGAAAATAAAATAAATATTTAATTGAATGGATTGTGCACAATGACTCATTTGTAAGTGCAAAACATTATTCGGATTATTTTGATGCACTTACCACGCTTTTTCATGCATTTTTTTATTTTATTTTAATTTTTTTTGCTCATGCTAGTGATAGTAGAACACACCATCAAAATCGAACAATTTTCATGCTTTCCAAACAAAAAGTGTATTTCTTTAATAAAAAACTCTCATTTATAGTGCACTTTTGTATATATTCAATATGCACATAATAGAAGTGCGTTTCATTTTATAAGAGAGTGTCAATATAGAATTTCACAAAATGTGATATCAAAGTGCACTTTAATTTATATTTAACTACACATAATTGTTATTTAACACATGCATGCAGATTTGGTTGTCATTATGGATCAATAAAAATAAATATTAAAAAGTGCATATATAAATGAGAAATTTGTGATTTAAGTGCATCATTATAACAAAAGTGCATATATAAATGAGAAATTTGCACATTGACACTTTGTAATAGTGTGTATTAATACTCAATACAACCTTCGTTATCTAAAAGTGCAAATTGATTGAGTTATAGTGCCCATGTGTAATTATTTAAAATGAGCACTTAAATAAGTCAGCTAATAAAGGAAAGCAATCGTCCAAAAATTTAGGTTGTGCAGCAATTAATGATCCTAATAACATGGGTGGTCATACTTTACAATCCGAATTAAATGGTAGTGGGTTTTACTCTTTTGACCTTGGATGCTTTAACCGTTTCTTCCATCATAAAAATAGACATTAGAAGTGCAACTTAATTACACTCATGTCATTATGATTTAGACTTGATCTTAACCTTTGATTTCATGTATTTAATGACTAAATTTCATTCTTATTTCTCTCGTGGGACACCGTTCTCAGGGGAACCCTCCCCTATATATATATATATATATATATATATATATATATATATATATATATATATATATATATATACACATATACACGTCGTCAAACTAATTATCTTTCATTTTCAATCCGTCGTCCCAATACTATATTCTTAGAAGATATTCTGTTAGTCTTATTGCTTAGGAAAAAATCACATAAATAATCTAAAAACACATGGCCTGTTTTTAAGGGATATCTTCTCAAAACAAGTGGGTGACCTGAATAAACCTATCCAGCAGGTAAACGGAACACATGGCCTGTTTTTATTGGTTTTCAATTTTTGTTTGTTTTTTCTTTTCATTTTCTTTCCTGATTTTCTTCTTTCATTTGTTTCTATCTTCCGCCATTCCAGGTCTATTGATATGGCTAGGAGGCCGCCGCCGCCCTCCCTATTCATCTCAAAAAGCATATCGCCATCTGCTATGCTGTCTTCACCAGAAGGTTGACACCCCTTTTGGCCCCAGTAACGGGATGACGAGAGTTGAACCATAAAAAAAGTCTTTAATGGCTATTCCTCAGTTGGCTGAGATAGAAGCATGGTGTGACACAGAAGACAACAAATCGTTCAATTTAGATCCAAAAAGTTTCTAGCATTTAGGCTCGGTGAATTAGTTCCTCTCCTAACCCGTCAATTGCATTTGGAGGCAAAAAGAAAAAGAATACTAGAAAGAATTGAAGAGGAAAGAAGGGAGGAACTAAGGGAGGGTAAAATAGGGGAAATTGCAAATAAAATAGGGAAGAAATTGCCGCAGGTACGATGGAGAAGCATTCCCAACACTGCATTTTTTCACCGTGTGTTGGTCTGTGAATCGCGGGGGAAGACCACCGGAGTAATAGTTGATCTGCCATATGCTTTGCCATGTTTTCTCATTAGCGACCGTCGTCCATGACACCCACAAGGAGGGGAAAGCTAGAAGGGTGATCTCCGTATCTTGTAGATGGAGGGCTAGAAAATAAGAAAAGAAAAGAAAAAACCCATGGCAATTTAAAAAGGGATCGTGAAGATGAATAGCGCGTGGAAGGTGCTGGCCAAAATGAGCTGTCAGACTTTCCTGCCTTGTCATTTTATTGTTTTTTACCTGTTGAGTAAGTTCTAGGTTATCGGGATCAACTTAAGAAGATACCATATTAATTTTGGATTATGTTAGAATTACTTATATTTGGGATTAACATTGGAAGGCCCTTAATAGTTAGGATTATTAATATGAATTTTTCCTATTGCTTATTGCTTATTTTATTCAGAAGCATCCGGATCAGTTCAGAAGCATCCGGATCAGATCAGAAGCATCCGGATCAGATCAGAAGCATCCGGATCAGATCAGAAGCATCCTATTACTATCGATTATATTATTATTATTATGGTTATTATTATTAATAATAAACAATAAATTATTATTATATAATTATTATTATACTTATTAAGTAATTATAATTATAGTAATAATAGTTATTGTTACTATTATTATTGAATATGGCACTAAATATATTTATATTATTTTTTTTGCCATTGGGTTGTAAGAACAAACTCACGTGTTTGTCATTTCTACGTTACTCTCTTTACGTGGATGAATTTTATATTGTTGTGTTTATTGTCAATATTTATATTATTATTAAAAAAGGTTATTAGTATCACTACTACTAATTATTATTATTGTCGTTATTGTTGTTATTATTATTGTTATTGTTATTATTATTATTATTATTATTATTTATAATAAACAATAAATTATTACTCTCTCCGTTACAATTTGTAAGATACTTTACGGATTACGATATTTGACCGACGATAAAGTAAATTGATCCCTGTCAACACTCAAATTAATTTTAGAAAATAAAGGTTACATATTCAGAAACTACATTAAAAGCGCTATAAAAAATAATTCGAATTTCATAAACTTTTGATATATAAAGTAAAAGATTAAAAGTGATATGTGTTGACCAAGTGATGGTAAATGTATCTTACAATTTGGGACTGAGGGAGTGTTATTTTTATTATTACATTATTATTATAATTATTATTGATATTATTATTATTATTATTATACTGCTTTAGAAAGTCAAGATCAAATTAGAAGGATTCAGATCAGATCAGAAATATTAAGATCAGATCAGAAACATTCAGATCAGATGAGACAGATTTAGATCAGAAAGATTCAGATCAGATCAAATCAAAAAGATGTGATAGAGAAAAATTCAGATTAGAAACATTCATAGACAGAGAAAAACTCTATTTGTCCCAATATAATAATACTATAACCGCATCACCTGCTCACTCATAGAGTCATACTTGTTATTTTTGACTCACACTGCGTATTAAATTATGGCTGCTAATATAAAATGAAATTAGAACGTAAATTAGAGTAGCGCGCGCGTACCTCACCGATGCCGGAAGATGCTCCGGTAATGACGACGACCTTGTCCTCCATGATCTCCTCCCCGAAGAAAACGCTCCAAAGCCACTCACCTGCGCTGATGAAAGTCAAAGCCGGCCACGCAAACGCCAGAATCACCAGGCTCGCCGGCGGCACAACCAAGTTCAGCACTGAATTCACCAAATCCATCACTATATATTACTGTACAGTATTAATTAATTGCGCGCGGAGTACGTAATTAACAATTACTCGACAGATCTCTTTCGTTTTTCCCCCCTTGAACGCAACGAAATAATTAATTTGTAAATATTAATGAAATTTTATAAAAGGGGCCGGTATCTGCATGTATTTTATGCAGATGAGCACGGTCGCCACGTGTTGCTATTGCTCCTCCCTACATACTAGTATATAACACGCGTCACCATAATATAAACCAACAATATCCACATGCTAGGTGCACTGCTGTATCGTGAAATATTTGCATTAAACTTAATCAAATACTTCTCCGTCCCGTGGGTCAAAATTGACTTTTACTTGAATTAATAAAGTAAAAATTGTGTGCTTAAAATTTGGGCAGAAGAGAGAATTAATTTTAGTCACATATTCTTTACTTTAAACGGAAATGACCAGGGCCGGTTCTGGGGCATGAGCAACGGGGCATGAATTGCTCCACTGAGGCCCATAAATTTCACAGTTATATATATGCATTTTTATTTTAATTATATATCTATAAACATTTTAAAAAAATCACTTATAATTTTCTTATACATTCAATTCATTATTCAAAAACATCTACAAACTACAAGTTTAAAATTGTGAAATTAAACATCAACACTACAATTCATTGGAAACAAACTTCACTATTTCTTTTGATTCATTAAGAGTTAGCGCATAAATGTTAATTTTTTATATACTTCTCTCATGTAAACTCATAATTCATTGATACTCCGTAGTATTTTACTATTTTTTTTTAATTTTCTCATGAAATGAAAGAATTAATAAATGTGATTTGAAATATGATTTTTTTTTCATATAAGATATAACTTTCACATGTTTCCTAATTCAAAATTCTTTATGGGAAATACAAATTGTACTACTTTCCCATTAATTAGGCGGTTTAATTACATAGTATTCTCGGATGTCACTAACCAAATATTTAAATATAATCTTTCTAACCGTCTCATTTATTAATTTTTTTGGTGTTATACTCATATTTATATAATAAAATTGCTCAATTTTACTTATAGTTTTTTTAAATTAAAAAATATAAACATTCATACATTATCCCTGAGGCCTACTCTATCTATAATGTCCCAGGCCCATAATATGTCAGGACTGGGTCTGGAAATGACAAATCTTTTTGGGACATCCAAAAAAGAACGAAGATAGTTTTCATAAATAGCAGACCATATTATTAATAATTAATAATGTTTGATTACATTTAGTTTAAGTTATAAATATACAAAAATGCATAAAATGATCAATTTAAATTATGTGTGTGCAAAAATAAAATTGTCGATAAAATTTGAGAAATATTTTGCAAATAAAAGTTAAACATAAAAAATTTGTATATCTTATACTAGTATCTTTTTATTCTTTTAATAAAATTACATAAATCCTATACTTATATATAGAAGAAAGCACTCTTAATTGTATTTTAAAATTTTTCCTATGTTTACCTCCTACGTTGAATTGGGGTTGAGAGGGGAGCTGTCGGTGGCGGAGCTAGATATCTATGGTTAAAGGGGCCGACGAGCTTTGATAATTTTACATTGTCGGGGCCAAAGTTTAAAATATCAACATATTTTCTCTAGATTCAAAGTATTTATATATAATATATACATAAAAAAAATTCTTGCAGGAGCCAAGACCCCCTCCGACCCCTCCCTGTCTCCACCCTGGACCCGTAGTGAATACGCCACGGAGTCAGATACTTTTCAGTCCACCAGACATAGATCCTCCCTTGACATATCATTATATGACTATATCATTGTTTCATCATTTTTTATACTAGTATTGGTTCAATCCATGACTAATAGCTAGTATAGTATCAGGTTCAATGGTATACTACGTCCGTCTCGTTGAAAGGTTCTCATATCAAAACGACATAGTTATTTAGACAATAATTAAATAAAGTATTTCGAGTATATTTCAAAAAAAAAATTAATAGGTATATATTATAATGTAGTTAGTATTGATAACTGTGTTGTTATACATGCATTATTTTTAATATTTAATGATTAATTTGCCACTTAACATTGGTAATTGTTTCCTAAAATGAAAATGATAACCTTTATATGGGACTTTCAAAAAAAGAAAGTGGGAACCTTCTAATGGCATGAGGGGAGTACTATCTTTGACTACCTCGCCCATAGGCCTGTCAATAGGTCGGGTCTAGATCCGGACCCGACCCGGACCCGGTTGTTTTTAATGGGTACGAGTCTATATTTTATTCCGTTTACCTGGACCCGGACCCGTTATTATTTTAAATAAACGGGTCGGGTGTGGTACATATGATTCTGACCCGTTAAGGACCCGGACCCGTTTAAAATTTCTTATACAAAAAGTGATTAATTATAACACTTTAAATAAAACAAAAACTAATATACATATATACATAATAATACATAAAGTTATTAGTTGTGATTTTTTCAATAAAAATATACACATTAATACATAGTAAGATACCCTAAAACTAATGACCATTTTGGCCGTAAATACATACCGATAAAGTGTGTATTGGGCTCGGTAGGAAAAGCACAATATTTATTACTATTATTATTAATATTATTATATCATTATCATATATAATAATACATATGATTTTATACTCTTAGTAATTCAAGAGACTTTTTTATGACTTAATTTCTAGTTTATTCTACGAGCTTTTTGTGCGAGAAAAAGCAACGCAGAGTGTGGAGCTATATGCCTATACAAGAACCGATACTTTATTAGATAAAAGTACTAAATTTCTATGAGAGACCTTAATTTTTTTAAAAGTGAAGATATATTTTGCTTTTAAATTTGTACACTTTGTTTTATATTTCACATACATGTCTTGTTATTTTCACAAAGTTTATAATGGTGTGCGTATCATACTGGGTGGGCGGGTCTACCTGACCCGATTCCAAGACCCGTTGGGTCTGGGTCACTGGGTCAGGATCCAAATTTTCAGATCCACCGGGTAAACGGGTCAGGTACAGGCCCATTATTAACTTAGCGGGTCCGGGTCCAAAACACTACGTTCCGACCCGGACCCGACCTATTGACAAGCCTACCTCAGCCATACGATTGATTTTCCAATTCACTTTGTAATACTGGCATCTCGATTTGACTAATACCTTAAAATCCCGATCGAACCTAGGCTGGTAAGGTACTATTCGTATTACGAGAATTCATGTACTACGTATTTGACCCGAACTTACCCGGTCAATGGAACCGGTGGTTCTTAATTTTTTTAAGAATACCCAACCCTACTCGACTCTAAGTTAGCTTTTTTCCATTTTAAACGCATTTTAAACACGTCTCTTTTTTTTTACTAAAAACACATTCAAAACAAAAAAATAATGTCGTTCCATTTAAAAAGAAAAAAAAACTCCTACTTCCCTTATAAAACGTATTTTTCCCGTATTTTACAAAAAATAGAAACATGAATTGATCAATTGATGAATTGATGAATAAATTAAATGCATATGAGATCAACAATAGTTTAAAAGTAAAAATGAAAGCCTCTTCCCCGTGATCATGTGTTTTTGTAATGTTATAATACAATTATTAAATACTAAAATTAATTTCATGACAGCTGTTTAAGCAATAATTTGATAAGCTAAAACTAATTAAAAAATAAAATTATATGAAGAATGGGTCTCGTACAAGAGCAATGAAGGAGATGACAAATGAGTGAATAAAAGTGAAAGCTTGTGTATTATTCAAATATCAGCTACCCTAATTACAATGAGGGATATCCTATTTATAGGAAGAGTAATTAATGCTCTCATGATGGCTTTGTACGTTACTGACGGGTTGGTCACACCTTATGACGATTTCAAATCTGTGATAAAGGCCGGTCAATTACAATCAATATCTTCATTAACCATATTAAAGAGGCTAATAATACATAAAGACGTTACAATAATTGTCATTAGGCCTTGCAAATGCTCCACTAGCTCGAGTTGTCCATTACAGACGGGTTGACTTGACGGTTTCACAACTTGTCATTAATCCTGGTCAGTTCAAAATAAGTAACCTCCTACCTTAATATCATTATTAACCATAATAATAACCACATATCCCTTTCAACAACCATCATTAAGCCTCATTAACCTCTGTGATCAACCCTCTTCAATGCAGCATAAACCGCCAAATTCTTGCTTTAACAATTGCCCCCTTTCGAGAAGTTGACGCGTACGATGCATGGTTCGAATCATCAAGCGGCAATTTGTCAAAATTTTGAAAGAGCTATGCTTCACCTCTTGGTTCATTGCGTCTGCTGACTCATCAACGACCTATTGTGACATATTGATGACTTCGGTTGACGAAACGTCTCCGTCTTTCTTCAGATTAACCTTCGACCGAATCCGTCTCCTTAACTAAAACCACGAAAACTGAAAGCTGACATGTTATCTTTTCTCCTCCAAAATTGCCTTGACGGCTCAGGGACATAAATTTGCAACATTTTTCATATTGATTTCGACACTTCATCTGGCGAAGGGAACATCATCCGTCGTTGAAGATAACGAGATGGGTTGTGTGAACCTGGTCCATTACCTGCAAAAACTTTAAATAGCATTACGTTTGTCGTGTGTATTATATCCTTATGTTGGAGCATGTTGTTTCGTTGTGTAGTTCTATATTTTTTGTTGCACGTGCGTTTTCATATATGTTTTGGTTGCACGCGTATTGTCATATATGTGTGTAGGTTTTGGCCAAAACGTATTGTATTGGCTCTTCTAGGACTGTGATCCATGATTTCTCATGGGCAACCTAACCCTTCCCGTTTTGATGTCTAAAATATGTTTGTCCGTTGCGAGCCTGATCGATGTCTTGTAACCTTTGTAGGCCGCTTCTCTAGTTGTCTAAACTTACGCTTCAAGATATCCCTGCATTCGTCACAAACTGTCAAAGTTGGCCGTTGGTTTTGAGCCAACGGCCCTCCGATGGTTAAGTCAGTAAGTCATCTAGGATGATAAATAAGACATAACAGAATTAAAAATGGAAAAGTTTAAGGTGTACCGCATTCCAACTTGGGACTTCCCAATTTGGGACTGAATTTTCCACTTGCTTCATTTCCGAATACTCTT